GCAAACCGCTGCAGTGAGATGCAGGAGGGGACAAGCCAGGGGTGTGGTTGGCCTCTAGGAGCTAAAAAAGGCAAGGAAATAGACTGGCCTCTGAAGACTCCAGAGGGAATTTCCAACACACTAGGAAAGTAAATTTGTGTTGCCTTAAGTCACTAAATTTGCAGTTATTTATTCCTATAGTAATAGAAAATGGGTACAGTACGCGATGAAACCTATACCTGCATCACTCACCTCTGCAGATACATCGAGCTCGCACTCTTACGTGCCCAAACTTCTTCCTCATCGTCCTCTCCATCCTGTGTCTTTGTCTCTATTTTTCTTTGTCTTTGCCTCTTTCTGTCGCTTTCTCAGTCTCTCTCTTCCTCTGCCTCTATGTTTCTCACTCTGACTCATCTCTAAGTCTCTCTGTGTCTCTGCCTTTTTCAGTCTTTGTTTCTCTCCCTGCCCCTCTCTCCCTCCCTGTCTTAGAGCCACCCTGATCCCTGGGCTGGATCAAGTTCCCCTCTGTGTTCCCTTTCCACTGTGCACTTCCTGTTCACATAATGACATTTGTTCAATGTCTGTCTTCCTGTTACCAAGCAAGTGGCGCCTGACACATAGTACTTGCTCAATAAATTTTGGGGGGTAGCAAACTATTAATTTGACTACATTGCAGAACATTTCTAGAGCTCTAAGTGGCTTCCTTGTGGCAAAGCACATCCATTCTCCTGTTTACAAAGAAAGAATCAAAACTCCAAGTGGTAAAATAATTTGCTAATATCTCACAGCTGGCTAGTGAAAGAAGTCCTTTCCAGCCCAGCAATTTTTCCACTTATCACAAAACAGTTGGCTGAAGCTTGTTGACAGCTTATTTGAAAGGAGGTGAAAAGTTCCAGAAGGAAGAATGTAGTATGTTCTGAGAACCTTTGCTTTGTAACTTAGCAACGTCAACTTCCTATTTTCAGAGACATTATGCTTCTTCAGCTCTGTCCCTTGAATTTTATAGCTACAGAGACTTTTTTCCTTCTCATCACAACTATAATGCCTCTACTGGAAGAGAGAGAGAGAGAGAGAGAGAGAGAGAGAGAGAGAGAGAGAGAGAGAGAGAGAGAAGGGAAGAAAGAAAAGAAAGAAAGAGAGAGAGAGAGAAAAGGAGAGAGAAGCTATGACATGAATGTGCCCCAGGGTTCTGCACAGGCTCCTGAGGGGTCAAAAGGAATTCAAGCCACTGGGCTTTGGAGTCTGACCCCTGTTCCACCAAAGCAGCTGCTCTTTTATGTTTTATACATTAGTTCTACAGAAACTTGTGTTTGAAAACATAGATTCCACTGCTGAGAAAATGCTTATAACTCCCACATTTAATCCAATCCTTTAATTTTGTGAATGAGGAAATTAAAGGCTAGAGAAAGGAAGCAATTTGCAAGAGTGACAGAGTTAGAATTCACACTGAGTTCCGACTGCCTTCTCTCCCATGTGCTAACTGCGCTCTTCTCCTTGCTCAGAATCCACTCACATCTCCTTGCACACCAGGGGAGCAGAGGGGAAGAGCAAGACCTGGCCCCTGCTAATGTCCTGCTGCTAGGAGGGTTATTTCCAGAGCTTCTTCCACCCCAGCCCTCAGCTTTCTTCCCCCTTTCCTCTCCCCACTCTCAAGAAAAGCCCTGTGTGTTGACCACTTGGTTTGAAGAATGGCTGTTCTTCACCTTCCCAGGGGAGCAGGGAGAGGGATGGGCAGATTGCATTGGCCGTGAGAGCTCCTCCTAGGAAATGGAATTCGTGGCTCTAGAAAGACCATCCATCCAGGCTTTGTGTATGGGGGGAGGTCTGTGTGTGTGTGTGTGTGTGTGTGTGTGTGAGAGAGAGAGAGAGAGAGAGAGAAACAGGAAAGTGTCAACACCTGACACTGCACTGTGTGCCCACTCTTTTACCTATGAAAATGATAACCAAATAAAACAGCTAAGAAAAGAGAATTGCTCTGGTTGAACTAACCCAGGGAAACTCCCCCACCCACTCTCAGGCACAGACACATTTACCCAAACACAAAGATTCAAGCTCAAAACCAAGAAAGGGAAACGTTTGAGAGCTGAAAGAGAACTCAAAATCAGAGCAGTAAGTGGGTCCTGAAGTCCCCTGCCTCAGGGGCTTTCTGAGCCACTCATAGACCTAATGGCAGGGTACTAGGGCTTTAAGGGCTGGGGGAAGGGGGGCAGACCACTGGTCCCGTGTCCAGCGTTCCAGGGCTGCTGGAATTATCCTAGGAGTCAAGATGACTGTGTCCACACAGATGTGGGTCTTTGTTCACATTGACCCAAACCAAGACATGAACTTAGGCGCTGGGTCGGTGTGAGTATCAGGCCTCAGCAGAAGAAAAGCTAAAATCACCTTGATAGGACAATGGCGCAGGCCACAGCAAACCACTCTGGTGGAGAACAAGCTGGAGACTCATAAATCACAAACCATTCAAGGAAACCTGGCACCTAGGGGACGCATCAGCAGAAATAACTAAGGGGGGAGATTTGCATGTCATGACCGATATGTAAGAAAATATTCTTCGATTGCTTTAGGGAAGCATCAGAGCCATAGCTTTTAGTCGAAGCAGATTGCTGTACTGGACGGCAGATTCGTGGACCACGCATCAGGCAGACTCAGGAAAGGCCCTCGGCAAACCTCCCTGTGTTAGGGGGCGGACTCAGAAAGGGGGGAGCGACTTGCCAAAAGTCACCATACTGGCTAGTGGCAGAATGAGGAATAGAATCCGAGTCTCCAGACTCCTAACTAGCTACATTTTTTGTCCCCTCGTGCCCTCATTTCCGGAGGCAGAAACTAGAAGCCTCACTTCAAGATAGACCAGGAGAAATACAGGACAGGTAGCCTACCCGGAATGAGGAAGCTTATCATCAGCAAGCTCTGATGCTAGGAATTTTACGCACAAGGTAGCACCTCCTTTTATTTGCTCACACTGGTCTGTTCCTGTTTCCTATAATCCCCTCCTTTCCTTAGTCCTTCTCTGACTACAGTATGATGGAATCCTTACCCAGGTGAGCAAGCCAGGTTCCTCTTTTCTCCTCAGCCTCCGCCCCACACCGCTTATGAGGTCACAATGGGCCACATAGGCCACAATGATTCCCTAAGAGTACAGTGGAGCCAGGGTTGGTGGCACACACCTGTAATCCCAGTGACTTGGGAGCCTGAGGCAGGAGGATTGTGAGTTCAAAACCAGCCCCAGCAATTTAGTGAGACCCTGAGAAACTCAGTGAGACCCTGTCTCTAGTAAAATATTTTTCAAAAGAGCTGGGGATGTGGCTCAGTGGTTCAGCACCCCTGAGTTCAATCCCTGGTGCAAAAAAAAAAAAAAAAAAAAAAAGAATACAGTGGATGCAATTGTATATGATATTAATACTTACTAAGGAGAATAAATGACTATTACTGGTTAATGAATTTACTATACCCTACTATTCCTTTTTTCTTTTTCTTTTTCTTTATTTTTGGTACTGGGGATTGAATCTAGTGATGTTCTATCACTGACCTATATTCCTAACCTTTAAAAATTTTTTTATTTTGAGACAAGATCTTGCTAAATTGCTGAGGTTGGCCTTGCACTTGTGATTCTCCTGCCCCAGACTCCCAAATGCTAGGATTATAGATAAGTGCCGCCATGCCAGGTTATCCTACTTTTAAAATGATTGTTTTAGACCAGTTTCCTTTTATTTAATAAAAAAGGAGGGGGCCAGGTGCTACGGCACATGCTTGTAATCCCAGCTACTCGGGAGGCTGAGACAGGAGGATCTCAAGTTCGAGGCTAGTCTGGGTAAATTAATGAGATCCTGTCTCAAAATTAAAAAAAAAAAAATAGAAAGGGCTGGGGAAGCAGCTCTGTGGTAAAGTCTCTAGCACCAAAGGAAGAAAAACAAAACTAAATAAAAATTAAAGTTTACTGTGACTCAGTAGGCAAAGTTTCTCCAGCAGCAGCTTCACACATCTTGATTGCAACATTTTCTCTTGTGCTAGGTTGAATCTCCTGTCGTTTTGTTCACTGTGGCTCCTACTTGTATGAAATCCACCCACTGCTAATGCTGCCAATAAGAGGCCATGCCAAGTGACTGATGAAATTGAATTGATTAAGGACTATGAAGGGCTATGTCTTCCAGGTTTAAGTACACTAGGATGTACATGCAAGGACAAAATTGCCTCATGATGCGTTTTTCAAACTTATCATCATTATCAAGCAACACATGATTATGCACCTATGTGGTAGGATTGGGAAGAGGGAGAGGGGTGAGAATGATTATCTTTGGGCAAATGACCATCCAGAATGGGGAGCACAGTGTGTATGGAAGATGGTCATGGATTCAATCCTGCAGGACCAGGGCCTTGAAGACCAGAACAAATGTAAATATGGCAAAATCCTTTGGCACATAGAACCCCCCATGCTACTTCTTATATTTTATTTATGATGTAAGATACCAAGTTTACAAGTTCCAAGTTCACCAAGGCTATAATTTCAGACCAGAAAATCAAATTCTTCCATAATAATAAAAATACCCCAATAGACTCAGAATGTACTACCAAATATTGGGATAAATTGAAATAAAAGTCCTATAATCATGCTACTTGGGCTTGAAGATTTATTCCCAACCAGACATGGCCAGTTTTTCCAGTGAAATATTTGAGACATACTGTCACAATTGTTTGCTCTATTCACTGCTCTATTCATTCATTATTAGCAGATATTGATTAAATATTAGCAGAGATGTTGAATCTCAACTATGTACCAAACACTGTCCCATGTCCCAACAAGAAAACAATGAACCAAAGACACACTCCTTGCCCAGAGGAGAGAGTCAAACAAAAACTCGATTAACATACAGAGTAATAAATGGAGAGAGTTCTCCTGGAGCACACGAGAAGGGCATCATTGGTACAGTGCTTGCTGGGCATGCACAAGGGCCTGGGTTCAATCCCCAGTACCACCAAAAAAAAAAAAAAATCAAGAAAGGCATCATGCTATCTATCAGTGAATGCTCTGTATCAATTATTGTTTTAATGGGAGGTGCAGTTCGAAGGGCAGGAAATGTGAGGGGGGAAGGGGAGATTAGGTGTGGAAGGAGATGAACAAACCTATAAGGGCATAAGCACAAGCAAGGTTTTTGTTTTTTTTGTGTGTGGGGGGGGGGATGTGGTGCTGGGGATTGAACCCAAGACCTTGTGCATGTGAGGCAAGCACTCCAGCAATTGAGTTATTCCCCAGCCTCCTCAAACAGTTGTTTAATCCTCCAAATGACTCCATACAAACTGCAGGAAGCCACCAGGCCTCAGATCCATCCATTGGATGACTAAGAGGAAATTTCCTGCTAGATCTTGTGCACTTTTTGTCTCTAATCCATCAGTGTTCACAGCCATACAGAATTATGTCCAGCTCCTCTGGCCAGCCACTGGAGAAGCCAGATGCCACATGCAGGGGTTCCATGCTCTAGCTGACTCTGGAAGAGATGGGACAAAATAGGTTGTCTCGAGGTCATTCTTGTTTAAGATCTGCAGATACAAGACAGGATGCTCGATTACGTTTGAAGTTTAAGTAAACAATTGAGAATTTCTAGTATGAGCATCCTCCAAATGATACACGGGACATGCTTTTGTTAAAAAAAAAATTAGTCATCATATATCTGATTTTTTATTTTTTTAATACTGGAAATTGAATCCAGGAGTGCTTTACCACTGAGGTATATCTCCAGCCCTTTTTTTGTTTTTTATTTTGAGACAGGGTCTCACTATGTTGCTGAGACTGGACTCAAACTTGTGATCCTCTTGCCTTGGCCTCCCTAGTGGCTGGGATTATAGGCATGTACCAATGTACCCGGTAAGTCCTCATTTATTTGAAATTCAAACTTGATTGGTTGTCTTGTAATTGAATTTGTGAAATCTAGCAACTTTACTCTAGCTGAGCTTGAGTTAGAAGCTGCTGGGCCGGTGAAGGAAGCTCTGCTAGAATGCAGCCTCTTCCTAGGGAAGGGGCAAATGGTTTGAAGGTGAAGAGATGGGGATCCTTCAACCCAGGGGAGGAATTATCCTAGCCCAGAACCTGGGAGGCTAGCACTGCTGGAAGAGTCTGGGGAGGGACATAAAGTAAGTCTGATTGATAGGTCTGTGGATTCAGAGGTTTCTAGGAAGAAATCATATTTAAATGGAAATATAAAGAGCAAGCAGGAACCGGCCTCAGCAAGTAGCTGATTTGAATAAACAGCATGCTTCGCCCAGCGTGCAGGTAGAAAGAGCACTTCAGGGCTGAGTAACTGCCTCCAGCTACCTATTAGCCTACATGTATCTCAAAACATACCTCTTCCATTTGAATTTGCCTCCAATTCACATTGCCAAAATGTTCTTACATACTTTACAATCCTCAAGCTTGTAAATATTTCACACTCATGTGAGGTTAAAAAGAAAAAAAAGTTTTGTTTTTTAACCCCCAGTAATGGGATTAAACTCAGGAGTGCTTAACCACTGAGCTACATTCCCAGCCCTTTTAATTTTTATTTTGAGACAGGGTCTCCCTAAATTGCTAGGGCCTCCCTAAGTTGCTGTGGTTGGTCTTGAACTTGCAATCCTCCTGCCCCAGCCTCCCGTGTCACTGGGATTTTGGGTGGGCACCACCATGCCCAGGTCATGTTAGGTTAAAATTGAAGAAGACCTCGTAACTCTCCTGGGAACCTCGTGCCTTGAAGTTACCATACAGGATGGGATTCTTCTCAGTCTTATAGGAACTTTTCACAATTCCCATGGGAAGACGTGTGGAAATATTAAAAAGTTTTTCCTTGTAGGTTAACAGGTGCTTCTCCAAAATCACCAATTGCTCTATCCGTCTTGATCCCTGACCTGGAAACAACTGAATTCCCCATGATCTGTAATAAAGAAATATTTAGCAGAGCAGAGGACTCCCGGGACCCTTGGACTGTGTTCTTCATACATTGCTGTTAGTGAACAAGGTCAATGTAGTCATGTCCTCACCCGACTTTCTCTGTGGACATCAGAACCAATCACTTCTCTTGCTTGGATCACTGACAGTGTCACTCTCAAGGTCACCTCAATAAAGAAAAGCACTACCAACCACCAGAGGATCAGACAGACAATCCGAGATCAGTTAAAATAAGAATTTAAGAATTGATCTGTCCACATCAGGAAGTAGAAAGCCACCATGTCCAGGAGGAATCTAAGCAAAAGTGGAATAACCGCTTCATGAGGCTGTATTAGCGAAGACTCAAGCACTGGCTGGGGGCAGCTCCTTTCTCATCGAGGGAGTCTATGATGCTATCATTTTAAATTGGGATTCAGTAAACTACAGATCTGAAGCCAAATCCAGCCCATCCATTTGTGCAAATAACTATTTATTGGAACGCAATGATGCATTCCAATTTACAGGTCATCTGCTTTTGCATCACAAGATGCAAAATTGTAACCTAATTTCTTCAATTTTAACCTAACACCACGGCTAAGGAAACACAGAAATCATTTGGGTGCAAAGCCTGAAATATTCACTTAGCTGATCATTTATACCAAAAAAAAAAAAAAAAATTGTCCACTTGTTTTAAAGGATGTGAAGGTGTCATTAATCGTTTCTAATTTACCTGTGTCATGAACCCATAGAGACCAGGTTGTTTTTCTTAAAGTGATACATGCCTTTGCTGAGGTTATTAGGAGAAAATATTCAGGCATCCCTTCTGACTTCACATGGCTTTCCACTCTGCCCTCATGGACCAGAGGAACGTGAAGTTCCTGAGATGCTGTAACATGCTCTTTCCCCCATTCCTATTTTAGAAGGATTGAACTACAGAATCAGTCTGGAGACGGCAACAGTAAGCTCAGCAAAGCTGGAAGGTGAACTGTATTGCATTCCTGCGGCTCTGTGTAGACATTTTCATGAAAGGCTGCAGTCAATCCTCTTCGCAACTTTATCTACTAATACAAGTCTATGCTGTTGTTTGGTCCACAGTGGGAGGAGGTGAAAATTTAGGGAGACTCCAGAACTTGCCCGACATCACAGAAGGAGTCAGGATGCTGCCTGTATTCTGGAACCTCACTTTTCACATCTCTGTGTGTCAGGCTAGCGAGATACTTGAGTGACAATGGGAAGCAGAACAAAATCTGGGGACTGGATATTTCCACAACCCAGTTCAGAATTTTTTCCCCCTCAGTACTAGGAGATTAGACCCAGGAGTACTTTACCACTGAGCTGTAGCCCTAGCCTTTTTTTTTTTTTTCAAGACAGGGACTTGCTAAATTGTTGAGGCTGGCCTTGAACTTGGGATCCTCCTATATCAGCCTCTGGAGTAGATGGCATTGCAGATGTGTGCCACCATACTTGGTGCAGTCCAGGCTTTTAATCTCATATTTAGATTACCAAAAATTAAAAGAGACAAGAGGAATATTTCGGTAGAGGGCCTGAAGCACCCAACTCCAAATAATCTTGTGATGGAGGAACTACCTCAATGAACTCACTTGCCTTTATTTAATGTGTTCAGGGTGGTTTTAGGAAGAAAAAAAAATGATAGTAACATTCACTTTGTTTCAGTTAAAAGCCCATCGACGATCTGGTGGTAGAAATGGCAACCAAGCCAGGTGTGGTGTCTCAAAATAAAAATATAAAAAGGGCTGGGGATGTAAGCACTCCTTTAATTCAATCCCCGTACCAGAACAACAAACAAACAAACAAACAAACAAAAACAGGGGGAGGAGGGAAGTCAAACAAAGTCTGTGTAATGGGGGGTGGGCTCTTTCTTCTTTAGATTTTTTGCACAATGGAAGTATGGCTTTCAATGACACTGTGTTCCAAACCCAAATTTTCAAGTGGCAAGGAGGAAAAAGAACAGAAGGGAGTAGTCAATAGCAATATTAAAAAAAAAAAAAAAAAGTCAGAGAAAGTGAGAGGAAGAAAGAAAGGAAGAAAATATTCAGCCCCTTGGTTTTTTTGGGATTGACTTACTTAGCATGATATTCTCCAACTCCATCCATTTACCTGCAAATGCCATGATTTTATTCTTTTTTAATGCTGAGTAACATTCCATTGTGTGCGTGTACCACAGTTTCTTTATCCATTCGTCTATGGAAGGGCATCTAGGTTGGTTCAGGGATGAGGTGTAAGTCCATAGTGGAGAGCTGGCCCATCATGCCCAAGGCCCTGGGTTCAATACCCGGCGTCACACATACACAAAATAAAGAGGAAGGTAGAAAGCCCTAAGAAACAAGAGAATAACATGGTTTAGGCTACCAAACCATGGCCCAGCTTTTAATGGGAATATACAAAATTTCCCACGGGCCTTTGGTTTTTCCCCTTCATAGTAGAAGGAACCATGAAACCTTGCTGTTGTTTTTGTGATTAGTAGACTGACAATCCTGATGGGAAGAACAGCATCGAAGAAGGAGCTGACAAACAGCTCTCAAAATATCAAGTTATCAGGTTGGTTTTGTTTTAATTTGTTTCCTGGTACCAGGGATTGAACCCAGGGATGTTAGACCACTGAGCACCATCCCCAGCCTTTTCTACATTTTTATTTATTTATTTTTTTTTGTGGTGCTGGGGATCGAACCCAGGGCCTTGTGCATGCGAGGCAAGCACTCTACCAACTGAGCTGTATCCCCAGCCCAATTAATTAATTTGTTTTTATATGTGGTGCTGAGAATAGACTCCAGTGCCTCACACGTGCTAGGCGAGTGGTGTTCTACCACTGAGCCACAACCCCAGCCCCTATATTTTATTTTAAGACAGAATCTCGTTAAGTTGCTTAGGGCAACTTTATGCTTTATTTTGAAACATGATCCCACTAAGTTGCTGAGAATGGCTTGAACTCAAAATCCTCCTGCCTCAGCCTCCCGAGCTGCTGGGATTATAAGTGTGCATCATCGGGTTAAAAATTAATTTGGGGAGGAGGGTAAAACAAAACAAAACAAAACAGAGGAATAGAAGATCAGTGGAGTAGACAAAGGGGAATGAAGGGGAGGGAGGAGGGACGGGATGGGAAAAGACAGTGGAATGGATCTGACCTAACTTTCCTATGTACATGTATCAATAGACCACAGTGAATCTCACTGTCCTGCTCATCACAAGACACAAATTAAAACAAAAACAAAAACAAACTATAAGTAAGTAGCCAAGAGATCAGCAGAGTAAAGGGAAGGAAAGCAGGGGCCGGGGAGGAGAAGGGGAAATACTGGTGTTACAAAGGCTGGGTCCGTGTCCCCCATGCCAGTTCAATAACAAGGATGTGATTTTGAGAAAAAGGGAAAAGGAGATTTATTGCTTTGCTAGCAAAGGAGAAATACAGGGGACTCCTGTCCCAGAGGCTGTGATTCTGCCCATCAGCAGGAACAGGCGGCCTTCCAAAGAGGTGATTCAAAGGCTACTTCCCATGTGTTCTCTGTTGGAGTTGGAGTTCACTTGTTAATTTGGGAGATAAATCATTTCTGAGATCTTCTGGTGCCATCCCCAAAGTCTGGTTTGCATTGTTCCTGTGGTGGGTGTGAACAGATAGGATGGCGAAGAAAAGTAATCCTATTTCCCCTGAGATAAGGAGGAGAGGGAGAAAGGGGGATAGAGAGAGGGAGAAAAGGGAGGAACAGGGAAAGAGAAAGAGAAAGAAACATGTTCACTTTAAAAATAATTTTCAGTGGCAGAGCAGCAATTGCTGTATTCAAAGCATAAAATGGACACTGTTACACTTGGACGCTGATTAGAACACATTACATTCTATGCTCTTATGATTATGTCAGAATAAATCCCATTGTCACGTAAAACTAAAAAGAACCAAGGGGGGAAAAACAACTGTCCAGAAAAGTATATATTGTCACTTTGTTCATTGCTACTGTAACAAGGACTCTTCAAAAGTCTCTTCACTTTTGCCTGCAAATGTCCCATGAGTGATTAGAGGAGCATTAAGGACCAGGCCTGTCTGCCTCCAGTTTGCATGGAGTCTCCTTTGCTCCTGGTCACCTTGGATTCCAGAAAGCAGAGGTCAGATCAACCAAAGTCTTGTGACTAGTGGAAGATACCCCTCAGGCTAGAGCAACTTTCTTTTGCCTACAAGGCATCACCTGACCCATCCTGAGATGATAATGGATGGACCACAATTGACCAAGATCGCTTGCTTTGGCAGCCGTGTGACGTCTCCAGCTAGGTAAACCCCCATTTCTGACCCTCCTTCCCCTTTCTATAAGTCCTCAAAATCATTGTCAGTCCCTTGAAGGCAGGGCTAAGGACATGGGTCCCCTTATCTTCTGGGTGTAGCTGCACTGATTAATATGCCTTTCATGCTTTTTCACTTACCTTTGTGTTTGGTTCTGGGGACAAGTGGCTCGACCTGATCTGTTGGATGCCCAGGGTCAGACCTCTGGCCTAGGACTCTGGTAACAGCCCCACCAGGAGGAAGCATGCCCTTTGGCATTATCTACTTGTAATTAGCTGACCTCAACCCAAAAGGGCAGAGAAGGAGGGACCCAAGCAGCTGCTGAAATTATATTTATTTCAGGATCTCTCCCTTTCTTTCCACTTTGCGATAGAACTGGCTGCTTTTTACCGTCATCTGTTGATGCGGAGAAACAAACTTTTGAACTCTCTGAGCTCTGGACATCTGACCCCTGGTAAGTTCTCCTGAACACGGCACATTGAACCTCCCCCCTTTTTCATTGTCTTTGGGGATCATTTGTGCCAATGTGGCTTCTTTTCAACTGATTTGGACTTGTGCCATTTGATTAACAGGGAAGTTTGAATTCTGATCCGTGGATTCTATAGCAAGAAAGGAACTTAAACTTCTCTGAGAAACAAGAAACAAGGTTGGTTTAAGGAGATCTCTGGTCACTTGCATAAGAATGGAAAACACTAATTCTGTGAAGTTGTCCCCTAGAGAGAATTTTGGCTTTCTGATTTAATTATAGCTATAAACCTAAAAGGTGACTTACTGTTGTAGTGCAGCATGTCCTGGGTACCTGGAAGTGCACTCTGGTTTAATCAGTTGTTTTATGAGTTCTGTTGGTAAGTCAGGTTGTTACTCTGCTTCTGATGACTGATGATAAAGGCCAAAAGAATCTGATGGCTGGCTGCCACCATCCCTGCTGGAAAGTTATTTTACTTGATAAATGGTTCTTTGTTCTAGGCTGGTTGGTTTGCATATCCTCTATTTTAGAACCCTTATCAGAACGTTGCTTATTAGCATTTATTTGATCTTTTTCTCCTATATCTCTCCTTTACATAAATTTACCTTTTTGCTTTTTGTCTTTTTTTTTTTCCTCCGGGTGATTGCAACCTTTGCCCCTTTGAATCCAAAACACAGATCCACCCGTTAGCTCAGAAGGCTGAAATTTTGGGAGAAGTGACATTTCCTCCAAAATGGGAAATCAACTCAAGGATGGAGGGAAGCATTTGGAGACAAATCCTGTCTGGCACTCCAGCCAATTTTACATTCAATGACCAAGGGGCCTAATGTTTAAAAAAATGATGGACATTTAATATTCCAAAATTGGTTTTCTTGCACACTGATCTAGAGTCACTGGGAAATAAAGCAAGGATTTATCAACCAGATAGTTCTCCAAAATATGATTTCTCTCATGCTATACAAAAGAAATTTCCCTTTGTAAGGGTTTCTCCCTGTCTTGATGAATTTTTTTCTTGTTCTTTTTGTATTGGGGATTGATCTAGGAATTCTTTACCACTGAGCTAAGTCCCCAGTCCTTTTTATTTTCTTTTTTAAGTTTGAGGCCCAGTCTCACTTAATTGCTCAGGGCCTCCCTAATCTGTTGAGGCTGGTCTTGAATTTGATTTGGGAAACTCCTGCCTTAGCAGTTGCTGGGATTACGGACATTCGCCTCCCCACTGGGCTTGATTAACTCTTAAAATAGGAAAAGATATTAACTTAGGTCTGCTTGAGCCTCACTCTTAAAACTTTTTCTTTCTTGAGGGCTTGATCTATGCCCTACTGAATGGTGTTCGTATTAATTTCTGTGTCTTTGAGATGTAAATTTTCTACCTTGTTTTCACTAAGTCACACCTTTGGAAATGCAGATTTAAGATTAAGGATTGCTTAGAGCTATAGTAATATCAGCAGCCAAACTTTTTAAAAACTGTCAATGATAAATCTAAACAAAAGCTATAAAACCTTTGTTTTCTACTTTTTCTTATGTTTGTGTACATGTGTGTATTGTGTGTTTTTTCTACATTGTATGAAATTGGCTTATCAAGAAACAAGCACTTACAAATTTAAAGACATAACCCCAAATGCCTTTTAGTTTACATTACTTAGGTAAATCTTTAAAAAAAATAAAGTTAATATAAATTTGTTAGTAAGATAAAATAAAGATATCTTTAGAATTATAAAAACACACTATTTTGTTGTTGTTCTTTTGCCCAGGTTATCTGCCAATCAGAACTGTATTTTTGTCTGTTAAGATGCTTAAGGTGCAACTTCCTTTGCTTTTAGACTTTTTCTTTGGCAAAATAATAATAGTAACAACAACAATGTTGCCAAAAGCTGGGTTCTTGTCCCAGAAGCTGAAATAACTACAAGGACACGGTTTTGGAAAAAAGAAAAAAGAAGGTTTATTGCTTTGCTAGCACAGGAGATATTCCGGGAACTGGGGCCTTCTAAAGAGGTGATTCAAAGTTCCATTCCACAGGTTCTCTGTTGGAGTTGTAATTCACTTGTTCATTTGGGAGATAGTCATTTCTGAGAACTTCTGCTACCATCCCCAAAGTCTAGATTACTTATTTCCTATGGTGGTTGTGTACTCCAGGACAGATAAATCTACCTAAAATAGAGAAAAAAGGTAATCCTGTTTCCTCCGAGATTAGGGCAGGGGAGAGAGGTAGAGAAAGAAACATACCCATTTTAAAAATAATTTTCAGTGCCAAAGCAGCAAGGGCTATATTCAAAGCATAATGTGGACAATGTTAGAACAACAATAAGAATAGCTTAAAATGTTAACTATACTTGTCTGATATTGGTTTTCATGTGCAAGTTTTCTTCTTTTCTTTATCTTGTGGTGCTGGAGATCAAACCTAGGGCCATGAGCATGCCAGGCATGCACTCCACCACTGATCTACATCCCCAACCTGTTTTTGCTTTATTTTATCTTGGCAGGGGTGGTGGTGGTGGTGGCCAGTATTAGGATAAATGCTTTGGCTGTGGTGGTAGGGTGGTGGTACTGGAGGTTGAACCAAGAAGCTCTCTGCCACTGAGCTGCATCCCCAGCTCTGTCTGTCTGTTTGTTTATGTTTTTGTTTTTAAGACAGTTGCTCAGACTGACCTCAAACTTGAAATCCTCCTGCATCCATCAGCCTCATGAGTTGCTGGGATTACAGGTGTACATCACCATGCCCAACTCATGGGTAATCTAAACATAGCCGTTAAAATGGGCAGTTAAGGTAGATGTAAATGGAATAAACATTTATAAACATATGAGTCATTTGTAAATTAAAATACTAACCATTAATTTTATATATAAGTTCACATATTCTTGGTTTCTTGATTCTATAAGATCTCTTTCTCTAGCTACACAGATAGATATGTGTATATATTATATAGACGTATTTGTAAACATGTAAATATAACATATAATATATTACATATATAAAAATACATATTTGTAACAAGGACTTAGACTTCACTTTTGCTTGCAAATGTTTGATAGGTGTCTAAAAAAGGAAATTAAGTGCTCTTATCTTATAGTCTTTCTATTTGATTTAGGTTTATATGTGATCGACTTGACAAATTATAGGTTTTATGGATGCTAATCAGATGTCAAAGGTATATTAATATTATAAATTATGCTTCTTGGTTCAGAACTATTATACAAAGAAATGTGGTTTTGCCTCGTTAATTTTGTGTTTTCCCTCTAAAACTTTATAACTGTTGACTCAGGAGACTGAGGCAGGAGGGTTGCAAGCTCGAGGCCAGCCTCAGCAACTTGGCAAGGCCCTTAGCAATTTAGTGAAACCCTGTCTCAAAAATAAAAAATAAAAAGGACTGGGGATGTTCTCAGTAATGAAGCACCCCTAGGTTCAATCCCCAGTTCAAAACAAATTTTTTTTTTATAACAGTTGCCTGTTAGTATTTTGTAGAAGTACAACTTCTAATAGAATAACCTGAGTCAATTTGGAATACTAAGACATCACCTATAGGAGAGATAGGATATAACTGGCTCTCTGTATTGATACTGACCCCAATTAAATAGAAGAGGAAAAACTGTAAAATTGCAAAAGTTAAAATTAAGACCCACTATTCCCCTTTTAAGGCTGGTGGAACTCTTCTGGGGGTGTTCAACAACAGACACAATGACCGAAATCCGAAAATAAAATGGCTAAGAAAAATATAATTAATATTTTGGTTCTTGTCCTTCAAAGTCAGCCAGGTCCCAAGGAATAATAGGAGCCCTCTAAGGGTCCTGCAACTCTGGTCCTCCAACCTTCTGATCCCGGGATTGTGAGGACCCTAGAAAACAGGAAGCTAACCTGTGCATGGTGCAAAGAAGAGGGTCATTGGAGAAGGAAATGTCTGCAGCGTTTACAAAGGAATCCACATGTGGTCAGCAAGCCCCTGACCCATTCTGGCAGGTGGCATAACTAGAAGAGGAAAAAAGTGAAGGAGCCCAGAGGCTCCTCACAAGTTCCTAAAAATAACCCCTGAGGAGTCTCAGCTGACCTTAACAGTAGAAAAGAAAGAGGTTAGGTTTTGGCCAAAATATAGGTCATCTGCTTGGTCTCAAACACCCAACAGGGAAGTATGACCAAAGACAAATGTACAACTATGAGGGTAGAGAAAAAGCCGAAGGGAAGCCATGCAGGACAATTGAAAGAGAAAGGCAGTGGTCCTTTTAAATGTAACTTGAGATGTGCACTTGTGTCAGCCTTACCAGAAATAAGTAAAGCTGAAAGTTATTTTTTTAATTAATTAACTGATCAACTTGTTTTTGTAGTACTGAGGATTTAACCCAGGGATGCTGTACCACTGAGCTGAGCCCCCATCCCTTTCTAAATTATTTTGAGAAAAATTTTGCTAAATTTCCCAGGGTGACCTCCAACTTGGGATCCTCCTGCCTCAGCCTCTCTAGTTGCTGAGATTTCAGGTGTGGGCCACTGTGTCCTGCAAAACTGACACATTACGAAGATGGGGTTCTTAGACATGACTGCCTGCCTCTGAAGCCCTTCCACCCCGCACCTCCACACAGAGGGCAGAACTCAATGGGGCTAAGGACTAATTCGTGCTTTTCACCATTACCTTTTCTGTTTGGTTTTTGGGGCCAGTGGCTGAACCTGATTTGTTGGATTTCCAGAACTCAGTCTCAGCTACTCACACCTCTGAGATTTTTTTCCAGAATGAAGCTTATAAAACTTCAGAGTCTGTGAAGTCCTAGTGCTCCACGGATCCATTTAGCAATTATTGTTTTTTTTGATGAGTCTTCTAGATTCCTGCTGCAAATAAGAAGGGGGAGGGTCCCGGCAAACACGACTGTTTCAGAGCACAGGCAAGATGCAGAAGTAGGCAGAACCTGAACCATTTCCAAGCCCATGCAGAACTGAACCTCAGACGTGAATCACGGTTTGGAGCCACATGAGATGGTTTCAGAAGTTTGCACGTGTTCAAACTGAGAAAGAAGGCAGACATGGGACTTCCCTCTTGCTTCTTGTTGGAGGAAGTGAAATTGCTTTTCAGCACTGCAGATATATACCTTTTGTGGAAGAGGTGCCTCTTTCTGTTAAAGGTCAAAGTTCAGCGTTTAGCCACAGCCCCTACTCCTCCCGGGTGGCCATCTGGTGAGCATATGTGATTGCATATGCGTTTCGGTAAAAATAAAAAAAAAATAGAAAATAAAAAAGATGATTTCTTTGTGGAAGGATTAAGACAGGAAAGGGTGCAGGTGAGACACTGGGTCCAGCTCTCCCTGTCCCACTTCCTCACACTCTGCGGGTACAGGAAACTCTTCCTGCCCCTGGCAGGCCCAATGCGGTTGAGCCCAAATTTCCCATCCTTCGACTTCTCCTTTCCTTGTTGGCCCTGAGTCGAAGAGAACTTCTTTGAGCACAGGAATTGCAGAGTCCATCCGTTTGGACCATTTTAGGCTTATGAAAATTCCAGAAATAATTTTTCTTTTTAAAAAATATAGGTATTTTCGGGGGAGGGGTTACTTT